ATATTTGAAGCAAATCTGTAGTTTGCTAGGCATCAAATTAGTAGTTCGAGACTCACGTAGTGACCCGAGTTTGCTAGGGGTCCGGCATGCCCCCGAAAAATTTTTGATTCTGGGATGCAATTTCTGCATTCTGAGGGTCCAAAGAATGACAATAAATTTGACAAAAAATTGACAATAAATTGACAACACAACAAAATTTCGAATCACAGTGAAATTCGTTATAGCAAACTCGTCGTAGTGGTGGCAAAAAGGAAGTAGAAAATGTCGTATAAAATACGGATAAATCGTAGGTGGTTGCACACTCTGCACAAGCCAAATCGGGAGGGGAGGTGTCGTGGTGTGCAGGAGTTAATATCTAGCCATTAATAAACTTCGTTTCATTTCTAATAACTATCGGTTTATCCCTAATCAAGGGGGCCGTTAAAAGCTATAGGCACTTACATTACTTGCGTTGAAATTTCCTTCATTATTTTTCGCCAATCTTGTGTCTCTGCTAGTTGATGGTTTCCCATATGAGACTGGAATACAGTCAGGCTCTCACGGCTTGGAGCGGCCTGATATGAAAGTCAGATAGCATGTCAAGATAAGAGAAGATGTCATCTCGTGTGCAATATAGGGTAGTTTTTTCATGCGTAAGTTCGCAGTTAATCTTAGCCGATGGATTTCTAATACAAAATAACCCCGTTGCTGGCAGGCACGAGGGCATGACGATCTCTTGTAGACCAAATATCTTCCTCACCTGTCGTCGTTTTCATGTTATATTACGGCGGCGAGACCTTACAAAGCTGGAGTTCACTAAGACATCGCGAAACCGCGGTATGTCAAGGTAAGTGGAAAGTAAAAGTTTCTCGGGCTCATTGCGGTTTGCTAACTTCACACACCTGCCGCCTCCATTACCAGATACCGATTCATAACCGCTGTTCTATGACTGACTGCGGCATTCATTTAAACTGAAGGATAGAGGTAAAGAACTCCACGAACGAGGGACTGGCTGACTATCCATCCCACCTTCTCACTAGATCAATACACAAAACCAGCACCAAAGTAAAACACCAAATACAAGTACAAATACCAATACCCAAAACCAACCAATAGTGGAATACCAATACCAAATACTAATACCAATACCATTACCAATAAGCAATGCTAATACCAGTACCAATACCAAGTTCCAATACCAAATTCCAATTAACAATACCAATACAATAACAATACATAAGCGGTAATACTGGGAAAACCCTAACCAATACAATAGCTGCTTGGTAATACAATACCGTGATTATAGAGTGCCCTGAGGTGTTATAAGCCAATACCCAACGCGTTTTTAATCAACCGTTCCGTCATTTACAGATCGCGTGCGTGACGTCATCAGTTATAGTCTAGCTCACTCCGTTATCATGTATTCCTGGCTGGAGTGTGGTGGTCGGAATCGCAAAAAGTGTCACCTCGTACGAGACGACCGAACGGATGTGACGAGTAGTAGTTAAACCACTGATATTGTACACGAGCGCGTATTAGCTAGTCCGACGACGGGGTCGTCGCCGGCTTGTGTAGGCGTAGCAACAACCTTATCATTATACATCGCATGCCAGAACGCGGTAGTCCGGGGCTTTGGAGGGGAGTGGGGGACGGGGGGAGGGGGGAGGTATGTGGCTGTACGGCGGTTCATCGCGACCGTGTGTGTAGTGGGGGGTGGGGGGTGGAAGCCGCATCGTTCATCCCGCGTGTCTGAAACAGGAAGTGAACGCAGCGAGTGCAGGCAGATTACGCTTATTGAAGACGCGCCAAGCCGGTTCTGACTGCTCTAGCTCTCACGTGCGAGTGTGTGTGTGTGTGTGTGTGTGTGTGTGTGTGTGTGTGTGTGTGCGTGTGTGTGTGTGTGTGTGTGTGTGTGTGTGCGTGGCGTGCGTGTGTGTGTGTGTGTGGTGTGTGTGTGTTGTATGTGTGTGTGATCGTGTGTGTGTGTGTGTGTGTGTGTGTGTGTGTGTGTGTGTGTGTGTGTGCTGTGTGTGCTGGTGTGTGACTGTGTGTGTGTGTGTGTGTGTGTGGTGTGTGTGTGTGTGTGTGTGTGTGTGAGTGCGTGCGTGTGTGTAGTTGTGTGTGTGTGTGTGTGTGTGTGTGTGTGTGTGGTGTGTGGCGTTTGTGTGTGTGTGTGTGTGTGTGTGTGTGTTGTGTGTGTGCGTACGTGCGTGCGCGCGTGGGTTATGCGTGTTGTGCTGGCGCCGCGCGCGGTGTGTGTCTGAGAGACAGAGGGGTGGAAGAGGATAGAGAGAGAGAGAGTGGGTGAAAGAGAGAGAGTGAGTGAGAGAGGGGAAATCAAACGCTACACCACGCGATTGCGACACCACGCCGTTGCATCGCAATTAAGCGCACGAGTTAATTGTGCACCAAAATTCTACAATAGAGGGACACAGTGACCCGCGTCAGCTGCCGCACGCGACACGCACATCGCTGTAAGACAACACAATATCTTCACTCATCAGAAGACAGACAATGAAGATACATCGGCTAGCGCAATTTGCGGTCCGCTATCGTTAGCCCGCTAACACCCTGTCTCGCTAAGGCTGATGAGACACATTCCATGTATAACGTCTCTACTGTAATGACAGATCGTGCCGACAAACACACACGACAAACACACACACCAGACATTTGTCTTATACAGCTATATACTTTACCGCGAAACTCACACGACAAACAAACACACACACCAGACATATGTCTTATACAGCTATAGGCTTATTGCACCAGCCTTCACTGGTCACTGGTCAGCGTCAGTGAACTGCATCGACCACGATAACTACGGTTCGAACATCGCACCGGAGTCACGGTGTATATATTATACGTTATACTGCGTATATACTATATAACTAGACAGAGGGCACTCACTGGAGAGTGGCATACCTCGCGCAGCCATGTAACATGAATGCGTATAACAGCTGGCTCGCTGCTGGCTGCTGCCTGACTGAACGCCTTAAGGCAAGCTGCTGCTGACTGGACGCCCTAAGGCGAGCTGCTGCTGACTCGACGCCCTAAGGCGACTGCTGCTGAATCGATCGCGCGAACACTAGTGGCTACACACACACACGAACACACACACGAGACCGATTACATTAACCTCCTTGGCGGAGGTAATAATATATGCTAGGTGTATAACGTCGCGCTTTTCACAACCACGATATTCACACGACTACCACGGTAGCTTGAAAACCACACATACACCTTTACAGTAATTCAATTACCAGTCTGGCGAATGAAGCTTTTACTCTCTATATGGGAAGCCATCAGCAAGAGACAGACAATCAACTTCGCAGACTAATGACGTGGGCGACCCCTCGTGGCGCAAAAATACACTCAATCACGCGACGTGATTGTTATAGAAGCAGCGGTGTAACACTGGGAATAACTTGGACAACATGGAGGGAATAACTTGGGACAACAGCGGAGTAACATGGGAATAACTTGGGACAACAGCGGAGTAACATGGGAATAACATGGGAACAGCTGGAGTAACATGAGGAACATGCCAGCTGTATGCATCGCCAACCGATGACACGATATCGATCTATCTCTCGTTTAAATACTAATACATGTGAGTAGAAATACGTACTCGCGACGGACCCGTCTCAACTTTCCGTCGACTTCGATTTTACGTGGTAGCTGCCCCGAGGAAAAAACGTGCGTGCTGGCCTCTGGCAAATCCGCTCGCTACGTCGCATACGGGTCCATATAGTTCGATACACCAATTCGACAAAAAGAGGTCACTTGCATTCCTAGCACTCCTTTTCACCTAGCACGATCAAAGATCTTGAGATTGCCGCCTTTGAATAGTGTGTAAACCTACGTAAACCTGGGGAGATTTTCCCCTATAGTAATCCAATTTTTATTCATGATTACACACACTCGTGTATCACATAAAGCAGTGCGTCTGCTGATGCAATATCTAGCGAGACATCATATATTATGCCAATTGTTTCGTGAGCTTTCAAGAATTCGACACTGTAACGCACTGTATCGCGTTCACCCGAGAAATCATAAAGTACACACGCCTCGTGGCCGTTGATTAAAACAAGGTGATAAACCCTCTCGAAAAAATTGTTTTACACAACGCCAGTGACATAGAACTTGAGAAAACAGGCCAGCACAAAGTTTGCCTATACATTACCATAAATCAGAGAGAATATTAGCGGTAGCACATGTATAATAATTCCACCCTACATGTACACACATACACACACACAGCACACACGCACGCACGCACGCACGCACGCACGCACGCACGCACGCACGCACACAAACACAACACACACACACACTACAAACACACAGCACACACCCACACCACTCCCACACCCACACCCACACACACACACACGCACGCACACACGCACGGCACGCACACACACACCACAAACACCACACACACACACCACACACACACACACAACCACACACACACACACACACACACCACAAACACACACAGCACGCACGCACTGCGCGCACGCACGCGCGCGCGCAACACACACACACAACACATCACACACACACACACACACACCACAACACACAACACACCCCATCCCACACCCCACGCACGCACGCACGCACGCACGCACGCACGCACACACACACACACACACACACACACACACACACACACACACACTACAAACACACACCCACACCCACCACGCACACACACACACACACACACACGACGCACGCACGCACGCACGCACGCACGCACGCCGCACGCACGCACGCACGCACGCACGCACGCACGCACGCCACGCACACACACCACACACACACACACACACCACACCACATACACCACACAAACACATAGGCCCTACACACTACTGTCGGCCACATGCACCCGAAAATGCACCCAAACGCGTAACAGCACAACAAACACACGCGTTCCTATAGTCAAACAGCACTCACTCTATACCTACTCGTTAACTGGTACGGGGTGGTAGATGTATACTACTTACCATAATCTCCCGCTGAGAGCTTGTCAGCTGAGCCGTTGTTGAGTGTCGGCTACCACTGGGACACCCTGAATGTAGCCGGCTTGACTGGCGAATGTCGACTCACTGCAAACGAACGCAAGATCGATAACGAAACTGCGCATCAAAACATTTTCTCTGATCGCAGCAAAAATTTGAATTGCCTTATTACGTAAACACTCGTATGAACGCGTATGAAGATTTCCTGTCGCGGTAAAACAACACGCCCGGTATGAAAACACGCGCACGCGAGCGCAGTACACGCACCGCACGCACAGCACGGCACATGCACGCACGCACGCACAGCGCGGCACAACACGACACCCGCACAGCCGCAACCACAGCGCGCGCACACCACACAACACAGCAGAGATGCCAACACAATATTTGAAGCAATCTGTAGTTTCTGGCCATCAAATTAGTAGTTCGAGGTCACGTAGGGTCCGGCATGCCCCCGGAAACATTTGATTTCTGAGATGCAATTTCCTGCATTCTGAGGGTAAAAAATGACAATAAATTGAAAAAAAAAATCACAGTGAAATTCGTAGTTTGATACAAACTGGTCGTCGGTCCAAAAAGAATAGAAATTCGTATAAAATACGGATAAATCGTAGTGGTTGCATCTCTGCCACACCCACACGCGCACACACACACGTGCGCGCGCGTACGCACACACGCAATTCCAGAACTTAAATCCCGTAGAAATGGTCTACTAAAGATGGTTAAAAAATATCACATGGTCATCATACGTCGCATTCAACAGCCACACGAAATGCGAAGTGTATGCACCCAGCGTGTAACGAAATAACTTTGGAAGTAACCGTAAATTAGGCTATAGTACAGTAAACACCCGCATAAAAAAAAACCGTGATTTTAAGAACCTCCAGGCTGAAATTGGACAATAAAGCACCTATTAATATAACGAACTCTTCAGCCTGATAAATTAAACAGGTTCTTATATAAAAAAAAATACCGAAAATTACAGCAAACTGGGGCAATCCAAGTATGTGTGCTAGTAGTGCTACACCATTGGAAACTGTCTACTATTAGTCAAATAAATTTTCACAGCATTTGACCTTTCATTGTGTTTAATATGATAAGTAAATTAAAGGTGATAAATAAATTAACTCAAATAAATTTAAACAGACATATAATTTCTAATATTAAGCAGTTGGTTAATTAACTAGTGTCAATTATTCACTAATTAAAGCCAATTTTACCTAGATAATGTACACAATATCCCCCCACCCCCCCAAAAAACCTCTTCAACCTGAAACAGAAAATCATGGGTTCTTTTATGCGGGTGTTTACTGTATAATATGATACCGTAATTCAGCCACGAAATATATGAATAGAAACACTAACAATAGCGCGATTAGTTCCACGTGAGTTTTCATTAGTTTCATTGACGTGCACAATTAATAATTTCAATTAGTTATTACAACCACCGACAGGGTTAGCGAGTGGCTGCATGGTGGCGACAGGCGGTCAGTCGATACAGGGCTAAATTAGTCGCTAATAAAGGTCGCTATAGAGCCAAATTAATCATGAGAAGTAAATGTCGCTTTAACCCGTTCAACAGTACATGGACGCGATGGTTAGAAGCTTGTCTTTTCACTTCCTTACGGCTTGGTGGATGGACTTATATACTAGCCGTTACATGACATGCGTAATGCGTTCGCTCTCAATCGGTACCTCACACAAAATAATTCGTTAACACACATTAACGCACATTAACGCACATTTACATACATAAATAACGTCGTTATTAAAGTGGATAAACCTCGCAACGAAAAGCCTGAATACACCTACTGTGAGCATAATTGCAGTACATGCAAGCATCACGAAATGTTCTCATTATCTTCAGCCTTATCAGTTCTCATTGATCGTGAGCCAGAAATGTGCTCCGAAGTTGAGATTTTGAAAACTCCGTCCGTCGGGGTTTCGGCGTATAGATAGTAGCAACAGTAGGCCTACGCTAGCGCAAATAGTTCCTGGAACGAAAACACTATATTTGTTTCTTGATTTCATAAGTAATGTAGATATAACATATGTCATGAGTTAAACAAATTTCACAATTTCGTACTGCGTAAACATCGAACAATAATGTATGTAAAGTAATAAATGTGTTATCATAGAAAAGAACTGTTAATGCAGCACAACGTTCTGTAAACACCAATACAAGTACAAATACCAATACCAAAACCAGACCCAATAGCAATGCCAATACCAATACCAATACCAATACCAATACCAATACCAATACTAATACCAAAACCAATACCAATTCCAAACCCAATAGCAATTGCTAATACCAATACCAATACGAATACGAATACCAATACCAATACCAATACCAATACCAATACCAATACCAATACCAATAACCAATAACCACGCGTTTTAATCAACCCTTCGTCATTTACAGATCGCGTTGGTGACGTCACAGTTATAGTCTATCATCACTCGTTATCATTTATCCGGGGGGAGGGCGGGGGGTCGAAATCGCAAGTGTCACTACGTACGAGAGACGACAGTGACGAGAGAGAAACCACTGATATTGTACAGAGCGCTATAGTAGTCCGACGACGGGGCCGGTCGCCGCGCTTGTGTAGTGTAACGTACAACCTTATCATTATACATCGCAGGCAGAACGCGGTAGCCGGTGCTTGGAGGGGGAGGGGGAGGGGGA